GTGACTGCACTTAACCCCACCCCGGGCAGAGAGGCTCCAGGCACCCTCTGTAGCACACACACTTGTCCCTGTGTCCTTGCGTGGTGAGCTGCCTGCGTGGCACCTCTGCCAGGCCCCTCTGCCAGCCCCCCACAGGCACGTCCTCGCTCGGCAATGCTGAGCGGTGCCCGCACACCAGTCCGTGCCTCTGCCTCCCAGGGCCTGGGGCTTGAGGATTTGGAAGGGAATTTATTCTGCTTTCGTGGGGGCTGGCTGTTGTCTTCAGTTTGTATTTTTTTTTTGCTGTTTTGTGCTTGTTGGTAATGTTTCTGCAGCTCCTGTTTCCCCCCTTCCCATCCCAGTCCTGTCCGTAGCGTTGTCTGAGTTTTCTTAGGGTGAGGCTGGCAGGCCAGTGGGTACCCAGAGGAGGGGGATCTTTGGGGAAGCACAAGGGCAGCACTGAGATGGGGGCTGCATTTCAAAAAGAGTTCAGAACAACCCACTGGTATCAGCCCAAGCTTAGGAAAGATTGAGTCTCAGCTGAGGGATTCAATCCAGCACGCAGGGGGTGATACAGAGCAGATCCACAGCAGTTAGGCCCCTAAATCAGCTCTTGCAGGAGAGCCTGAAGATGCTGGAGATGTTTTGAGTGTCCCCAGCTGCAGCTCAGCAGCAGTTTGCCTTTGGCTGAGCTCAGTTACACACTAGATGCAAACAGGAGCTTGCTTTGGGAGCCTTCAGGTTGGCTTCTGGGTGGTGGGAGACCCTAAAGAAAGAGCTGCACTCCCCCACAGGAAGCCAGTGCTGAGATCAAAATGAAGACAAAAGATTGTGGCCATCCAGCTTAGCCTGGGTGCTGAGAAGCAGCAGGAAGGGGAACAAAAGGCTTCTTTTGTTCCCCTCCCTGGGTATTTCTCCCTGTGCCCACGGAAGAGCAGAGTCAGCTGAGGGCACTTCAGGCTTCTGTTGACACGATCGATAGATGAGCGAGCCTGTCTTCTGCTGACCCTGCTGCTTTGCTCTTGCTGTGCCTCTGAATTCCTGGGCTAAGAAAAAGGTCTTGTAACAGGTAGCTAAGACAGCTGTCAAGGCTCTGCCAGGCAAAGGTCTGCAGATCTCAGAGGACTGCCCAGCTTCGTCCAGTCGAGCTTTAGAAAGATGCTGTCACCTTTTCTTTATGAGTTTATCTAGCCAAAGAGTTTATCTGGCTGGGTTATTCTGCTCTATAAAAGCAGTAAAAGGTTTTAAAGGCTTCTGCAGAGGTGGTCGCCTGCCTCCCACAGAGTTTTGCAAACAGTTGGGTGGAAATGGGAATAGATGGAAAGCCAGAGCCTGGGGCATGGTGGTGCTGATGGAGAACGTGGTGCACTGGCAGGGGAAGCTCCAGGGGTGCTCTCTGAATAAAAACCACTGGAATTAACGTGGGGATGGTTCAGAAGAGGGGCTGCAGGCTCTTCTCCAGGCAGGGGACCCGGGCTCAGCAGCAGAACAGAGCAGGGGCTGTGGAGCAGCTCGGGGAGGGGAAGCTCATCCTCCACACCCTGCCCTAGCCTGAGCAGCCCAAAAAGTAACTTGGCTTTTCCTCTTCAGAGTTATGTTGGTTTTTTTGTTGGTGTTTCAGTTTGTTTGTTTGTTTGGTTTGGTTTTTCTTTTTTTTTAATTAGCATGAAGTTTTTTAAAAAGTGTATATTTTATTTATTTTTTTTTTACTGTTTTCTGCAGATTCTGGTCTGAGCAGCCCTCTCAGTGACCCTGAGTTTGACTTTGAAAGTTAGTTCCTGTGTGTTTTTGTTCCTGTTGGTTTCATTTCCCCCCCTCCTCCCATTATTATTTTTTTCTCTTCTGTCGCTTTCCTTTCCGATTCTGTTCCGTTCCTCTTGTTTTTTGTTAGTTTTTTTCCCTGAATTCTCTGTGTTCCTGCAGTGTTTGCCCATCTCACCCCTTTTCTGTGCCATCTGTTTGTCTGAACTGCGCTTCCAGTTTTACAGTATCCAACACCAGGCCTTTTGCAAGACAAGGGGGGTAGCAGCAGAACAGAGCCCCTGGCAGCAGCGTGGGGACACTGTCTGTCCTTCTGTGTCTCTCTTTGCTGTCCCAGGAGCAAGACCTGGGTTTCCAGGCTTCCTTTTCTCCCCGTTGTCAGAAGGTGTTTCATTTTTGAAGCTTGGCTGAACGTCCCTGGGTCTGGGCAGAAGACACTCTGCTGTGCCACGGGGTGGGGGAGTGTCTGTGCTTTTTGTGTTCATCACTTCACGTGGGGACAGAGAGAACCAGAGCTGCAGCTGCTGGTGCCCTGCATCTTTGGGAAGTGCCACACGGGCACCTTGTCATGGCAGACCAGGAGGAGAGCAGGTTCTGTTCCTTGGCATCGACTTGTTGCAGGAGCACAAAGGGCAGAAGCTTCTCCCTGGTGTCCTGCAGAGCCCCAGCCAGGCACAGTGGGCTGGTGGGGAGAAAGGGGCTCCAGCCCATGGAGCAGATGTGAGGGTGATGTTCCTGGAGGGTTGGCTGGTGCACAGAGAATCAAGTCTTCTGGGATAAGATTAGAGAGATGCAAGTGATTGAAATGTTAGATGAGACTGGCTCTAAAGTGCTTCATCCCCACTGGAAGCCAAGAACTCAGCTTCACTGGGGAGGGTTGGAGTATTTTTTCTTATTAGTAGTATTTTTTTTTATGCTGAGCAGGGAAGCAACTGTGAGGTTTCAGCTGACACATGAAGAATTGCAGATGCTGCTTGTGCTCAGAGATGTGACAGGACAAGGGGTGATGGTTTGAAAGTAAAAGAGGGAGATGTAGACTAGATGGATGTAGGAGATTTTTTCTGCTGAGGGTGTTGAGCCCCTGGCCCAGGCTGCCCAGAGAGGTGGTCACTGCCCCATCCCTGGAACCATCCCAGGGGAGGTTGGACCAAGCTCTGAGCTACTGGATCTAGCTGAGGATGTCCCTGCTCCCTGCAGAGGTGTTGGATGAGATGACCTTGAACTGTCCTTTCCCACCCAGACCAGTCTGGGATGCACTGTGAGGGCTGGGATATTTTTCTGAATAATCCAAATACTGATCTCTTTGGTGTTGAGTCCTGTCAGTGCTGCCTCCTGCCACCTCCCCTCAGCCCCCCTATATATCAGCAGGGGCTTTTGTGCCTTTTCACCCCTGGCTGAGGCTCAGCCCTTGGTGACACTCCCTCTGCCCCCCACACTCTCCAGGGCACAAGGTCTCCTCACAGGTAGCCATGGGGCCACCGAGCAGAGGGACCTGCAAGCCATTTCCCCTCCTGTCTAAAGATATGCAATTAAAGCATAGGAAAGAGGAGCTGCAGCAGTGCCTGGCTCCTGGAACACCAGATTCCTCCTCAGCCTTCACGGGAGTCCTCGTGCTCTTGGCTTTCTGGCCAGGGGGGTTTATCGCTGTGGAGGGTTTCAGTCTTATTTTATTCTAAGGAGGCCTAGAAATGGATCCCACAAGGAAGTTTCTGGTTTTAACAGCAGCAAAACAAGGCAAGTTCCCAGGTGTTCTCAGCCAGGGTCTGTCTGCAGCAGGTGGAGGTGGGGGCAGGATGTTCCCCAGCAAAGGGACAGAGCTGAATTGCAGGAGCTGCTCATGCTGAGGGTTTGTCTTGGACCTTTTAGGAAGGAAACTTGTGAAATGCCTTCAGGGGAATGTGACTTCTCCTTCTAGAGTGGCACAGTGGACACAGTGGACCCTTCCCATGCAGCCTGTTTGCTCAGAGGGATTGACACACTGCTCCACGACTGCTGAGCCAAAGAGAATCTGGGGTTTGGGTTTTTATTCCTTGCTTGTTATTACTAGATTTTCTGATTGATTGCTTATTTTTTTTTCCTTTTGACCTACGTGTTCATCATTTGGGGTTTTATTCCTGGTGCTGTGTTCCTAAGCACACTGCAGCAAATGATCTCCATCAGTGCAGTCAGGCAGTGGAAGCTGGGCCAAGAGCCACCAGCTGCCACCCAGCCCAAAGGGGGAAGAAGTCTGTGAGAGGATGACCCACAGAGATCTGGAGATGGTTTGTTGGGTTGCCAGAAGTTGTTCTGAGTAGGGTTGGGCTTTGTTCTAACACTACAGCTCAAGGTGTGTTTGCTGCACTCTTCAGCCCTTGCTTTCTGAGGCAGAAGGACAGACACTGAGAAGGGTGTACATAATATTTTAACTTGGTTTGGTCTCTGGCATCTTGGCCAGTGTGACCTTTCTGTCCCACGTGGGCAGAGACAGGACCAGTTCCTCCAGACCCCCCCAGTTTGCATCCACTGCTGTGGGACTGGGGTGGATGGAAGCAAAGGAGAAACCCTCCTCCAGGTTCAGGGGGCTGCAGGACAGCAAAAGGTTAACGAGGAGTTTCTCCTGCTTGACTCCATGAGCTGGGAGAAGCATTCTGCCCTGATCCTCAGCAGACTAGAATGGAGCCAGCACAGCCTCTGGAGTACGTTTGGGTTATTTTCATGAGCTTTTTTGGTCTATTCCCTTCCCTGCTTCTATTTTCAGCCAGGCTTCCTTGTGCTGAAAATAGATGTCTAGTTAGCTTAGGAGAAACCTGTTGGAGTGGTGGCTCAAGTCCCCGCTCTGTGGCAGACTCGTCTTGTCCCAGGCCTGGGGGAGGCAGCATCTCTCCAGAAGTCACTGTAAAACTGAGGATGTCATGCTTGCTTTGCCATCTCTGTGCTGAGTTTTCAGAGTATCTGACCATGCTGCTGCCACCGCCGCTGCTTTGTCACACACCAACACCCACGGGGCTCGAAATTCTCCCTGGCTTCCATCTCTTCTCCACTCCTGTCCTTCTCATTGGGGGCACTGCCCGGGGCTTCTCAGCATGCTGCTGCCCTTGCCTGCCCGCTGCCCTGGGCAGCAGGGTGGGCTGGCAGGCAGCATGGGAAGCCTTTGGAAACACATCATCCAATGCAGATGAGCCAAGCACGGAGCGCTTTTCCACCTCAGTTCCTAGTGTAGCTCTTGGAGAGGATGGGAGGGGAAGGATCCCTGCTCTTCCCAGAGCTCCAGCTGCCACTTCTGGAGCAGGGTGTGCATGTCCTGCTCCAGGCTGACGCCGGGTCTGCCTTGGTGCTGAGCCCTGGTGGTGGCTGAGAGGTGCCTTGTCTGATGCAGCGTGGCCCTACCACACCCAGGACAGCCTGGAGGGGATTGAATCTGTTCCCTGGCAGTTCTCTCTGCCTCAGTACAAGCACAACAGAGTGTTGAGTATTGCAAGGACAGCAGGTGAGCCAGGGTCAGGAGGCATCTGTCTCCCCAGCAAATTGTTTCCCATCCCCAAGACTGAGAAGAAGCAAGAGGATCTTTGCCTCTCCATCACAAGAGGTAATGACCCCCCAGCAGAGCCAGTGATGGGGTCAGGAGGGTGAGGACAGAGCAGTGCTGGCCATCCATGGGATGTGCTGTAGAAGGCACATCCACTGACCCTGAGCAGGAGGAGGAGCCAGTGCTTGACATCTCCATACCTGGTTGCACTCTTGGAGAGGTGAAGGTTAAACTGCTGATCCCTGAGCTCCCCGAGAAGCTCACAGAGCAAAGGACAACTCCTGAAAAGCCTCCCCTGCTTCCCCCCATCTGCATTCCCTTCCCTGCCCCACATCACCATGGTTGGCTGGTCCCTGCCCCTTCCCTTCTTTTGTGTTGGAGTTTGTTCCTGACCATGGTGGGTGCTGGAACATTTGCTGCGTAGGTTCCTCTGGCAGCGTTTGCTCATTTTAAGTCCCCTCTTGGAACTGCTAACATGCATCTGCTCCTCGGATTTTCCTTTTTGTTTTGCTCTGATTTACACTGAAAATGGGGCCATCATGGGAACACTCATTTTACTGTTTTTTTTTCTGTTGTTGTTTTGTTTATTTATTTCCTTGGGTTTTATTTTTTACTTCCAAGGACACAATTTCGAGCCCTGAATTCTTCTCTTCTAACCTCCCTACTTTCATTGCAGATCTTACATTGTAATTATTTTTTTCTTTCCTCGTTTCTTCTTTCTTATAAACTGTGCAACAGTTGGGAATTTCAGTTATTATTAAATGAGATTCTTTTCCTGCTGTCTTGTCTTTTAGGTATGCTCAGCCACCCACCAATCCCCGTTTCCGAGCTGGCTGAACACACAGAGCATCTCAAAGCTAATGATAACCTGAAATTGTCCCAAGAGTATGAGGTATGAGCAAGAGCGAGTGCTGCGTGTGGGTTTGCAGAGCCAGGGAAGGAGGAAATTCAGACAGGCCCCCAGCCAAATAAATATAGCTTCATTGGAAAGGATCTGGTTAGCTGAAATAAAAAAGAAGCTATTTACGTGTGGAAAGTTTCCAGTACTTGCTCAGTGCTTTGCTAGGGCCAGTTCCAGATCACAGGAGAGAATCTGGGTCCGTGGGCAGGGTCTGAACTGCCTTTGTGAAGGGGATGTGCTTCTGGAAGGTGACCCCCAGGCAGGTGGGGTGGGGGGTTGTCCTTGGGGGTGCCTGTGTCCTCCTGCTGACCACGGGAGGAGCTGGGGACTGTGGTGGGCAGCTGTAGGTGGCTGCAGTCAGACAGAGGGAACAGTGGGTCCTCCACAGACACCACGATCAGCAGCCACAGAGCTAAAGCTGAGAAAACAAGATAATTTGTGCCTTTCTTATCTTCTCGGGGGATTTTATGGTCTTTTTTGTCCTTCCTGCTAACGTTGGGTTCCTCAGACATGCTCCTGCAGCCTGCTTGCCTTTCAGATGACCATCCCAGGCTGTAAAATTCCCCCTTGGCCGGGGCTGACGGGTCAAGCAGTCACAAGACAGACCTGGGGGGAAGGCTAAGGAGAAGAAGAAGATGTTCCAACACAGCCCCAAGTTACCACTGCCCCTAGCACAGCATCCTTGTCCCTGAGGGGTGGGCTGTGTGCCCACACGACCTGCTCCCATCCCCTGGCACTGCCAGGGCTGCAGCAGCACCGGTGAATCCTGTGCCTGATATCTGTCATTGTTCAAAGACTTCAAACACCCCGATGTTTTTAGGCTAATAACTAGTCTAGACTGCCTGGTTCTGTTTGCAGATGAGCCATTTTGTGAACAAAGGGCTGGTTCTGGGCTGCTTTCTGCCCAATCTGCCCCGCGGGCATGAAGCAGCTCTGCACCCACCCAGCAGTTTGCTCTGCTGGGGTCTCCCACCCCACGTTGGGGTGCAGGGGGGGAGCAGCAGCCTCTTAATATGCTCCATCCAGATTTCAAAGGCTGATTTGCATAATGCAATATCCCGAGTGCCCTGGCTTCCTTCCAGCACAACCTCCTCTAGTGGGAGAGCCAGAGCTAAACAAACACGGCTAATGAAATGAACGCGGGGCGAGATTAGAGGGATGGAGAGCAAACAGACACATTACAACACTATAAATACCCATTAGTCAGAAAGGCTCCGTGGCGAGTGCAGGGGGACGTTGGTGCTGGGTGGTTTTGCCCCAGCATTGCCACCACCAGCAGAGCTGAGCTGTGCCAGGGGCTCTGGCGTTGGCACAGGCAGCGGGCACCCGGCAAGCGCCAACCCCAGCGAGCTGAAAGGGTCAAATCCAGGCAGGAGAGCAGGGTCCTGTCCCCACGGCAGCAGGAAACAGCTCAGCACGTTCCTGCCAAGCCTCCAATTGAGGCAAACCCCCAGGGCTCTGCAAAATGATGAAGGAATTAAGCCCTTGTTTTATTTAATTCTCTGGCTGAGGATTTAGAGGTAAACGTAATTAACCTAATTTCCATATCTGGGACAGCTGGACTTTAGAGAGAGAAAAAAACACCCAACCACCAAACCTGGCATAAATCACCAGGACAGGCAGAGAGGGTTTTTTTTTGTCTCCATTGCATTCCACTGTTTAGTCTTTCTTCCCTTCTGGGAGTTGGTTCAACAACTCAGGGCCAGGGTCCTGATGCTTCTCTGTCCAGGTTGATGCCCTGGTCCTGCCCCTGCCCCACTCCCGTGGGGCTTTCTCCCCACTTTGCACCTAGGTTCCCCAGTGTTCCAGATCCCCCTTGCTCACATGGTTATAAACCTTGTCCTAGCTTAAATATCTTCTTCCCCAGGTATCAGCCCTCACCAAGACACCAGTGTAAATACATCAATTCCATGACTACATTCTGGGGTGACTGTTCCTGTCCTCTCCCAGCCTCGGGCCATTGATCAGTGCCAGTAACTGGGACCAGCCCAGTGTGCCAGAGGGGGGGTTACCTCAGGTACCACCCCTGGGGCCCAGGGAGGTGGGATGTGAGCACACTGTGCCAGCAGGCTGGGGCTTTTCCACAGCAAAGAGCAGATCTTGAGGGAGCAGACTGCCCCATGCTAGATCTTCAGAGCCACGATGTATCCCACACGGAGTGAGGTGTTCAGAGCTTGACTGGCTGCTTCTCTCCTCTCTGACTCTTCCATTTTTCTTTCCCACTTCCTCCAGTCCATTGACCCTGGCCAGCAGTTCACCTGGGAGCACTCCAACCTGGAAGTGAACAAGCCCAAAAACCGTTACGCCAACGTGATCGCCTACGACCACTCGCGGGTCATCCTGCTGCCCATCGAAGGTACTGTGGCATCATCTCCCCTCCCACGTGGCAGTGCCAGGCTGGAGCTAGAACCACAGAATCAGAGAATCACAACAGTTGGACAGGACCTCTAGGATCATCAGTTCCAGCCTCCATCCCAACATCTCCCTAACCACTAGACCAGAGCCTCAAGTGCTGCATCTACTTGGTTTTTTGAGCCTCCCCAGGGATGGGGACTCCACCACCTCCCTGGGCAGCCCATTCCAATGCCCAGCCACTCTCTCAGGGAAGAAATTCTTCCTAATATCCAAACAAAACCTCCCCTGGCACAACTTGAGGCCATTTTCTATCATTAATAATCTGGGAGAAGAGACCAACAGCAGCCTCACTCCAGCCTCCTTTTAGGGACTTGTAGAGGGCAGTACGGTCACCTCTCAGCCTCCTCTTCTGCAGTTCCTAAGCCATGTTCCCCAGACCTCTCACCAGCCTCGTTGCCCTTCTCTGGACCTGCTCCAGCCCCTCCATGTCCCTCTTATCCTGTGGTGCCCAAAACTGGACACAGGACTCAAGTTGCTGCAGGGAAAGACGTTGCACCCACTCCTCTCCCTTCCCTCTTACCCTCTATTTATATTCTTCTCTTAACATCTCCCTGGGAGCTTAGCAAGCAGGAGACCCCTCTGTAAACCAGGCATTTGTTAAATTCTGGTGACTGACAGATCCCCTGGAGCTGCTATCTCTCATTTCAAGGGGCTGGTTTATCAAGCAGCTGTCTTCCCTTCCCTTGGAGATCTCAGCTCCATCCATTTCTGACCAACGGGGAGAATTCCAACCCCACAGTGCTTTGGAGAGAGCAGGAACAGGGTGGGGGGTGGCAGAGGATCCCTCTAGGATAAGAGGGGCTCCTGGTGGAGAGGAGATGGAGTTTAACAGGGCACCTGCTCCCATTGCTGCTGCTGAGATAATATCTGAGCTTCACCTGGGGTTGTGTGGCTGTGCTGTGCAGATAAAGAGGTTCAGGCCAGTCTTGCATTGATTCAGTCATTCGAGCAGAGAGGACGTGGGATGTCCCAAGAGCCCCTGGGTGAATGTAAAGGTTAATTCAGACACCTTCATGCCAGGGCAATTGCTGGAATAATCATCTTCCTCTGCTGAGGTGGCTCTGGGGGACACGGGGAGGTGGAAGAGCTGCTCCTGGGTTACCAACAGATCCTGGTGAGTGGCCAAAAGGCTGCACAGACCTGGATGGGTCTCATCTGCCATTAGAGGATTTCAAACGTTTCTCATTGTGAAGATGACTGTGTTCTGGCTTGGTTTACTTCTGAGATTAATATTGTATGAGCCAAGGAAAGCAGAGTCTTTAAAAAGTTGCCTTGTCATTCAAAGGGAAGGAGAAGAGCAAAGAGTAGAAACGAAGGACACTTTGGGCTGGTCTCAGCTCTCAGGAAGACAGAAGCTGGATGCAGGCAGCAGCTCTAACTCTGCCCGGGTGGCATCCTGGGGCACTGATGGTGCAAGTACAATGGGCCAAGGTTTAATTTTCAAGCATCTGAGAGGTTCTGACAAGTCTTGGCTGGTGTGTTCCTTCCTGCCAGGCTGTATTTTATGCTGAGGGCTGGAAGATGAAAGGACTTGGAAGAATTAGTTGTTGCTTTCTCTTTGTTTTAAATCTGGATTTGTCAAGGCTGCAGATTGTCACTGGCTGCTTGGTCAGGAAGAAGTAGTGGCTTTAATTCCATGACTTCTCTGTAACTGGGCCTGTCTCACAGTGAAAGGTTGCAGGAACTCATGGCCACCATTTTAAATTACAGAGTGGACCCCAGGGGGCTGGAGAGGAGATTTAATTCCAGGAGCCCAGCCTTGATCAGGCTCCTGCTGCTGCCGCACAGCCACGTTCCCTCCTGAAATTTCAGACTGGGAGGGAATGGGGGGCAGGGAACCCTCCAGAAATTTAATCAAAAGCCATTTCTACCAGCAGCTGAAATTACCAAGTACCCTTGAGGACTGGCAGGCAGTTCAGCCTGGATTGCACCTCGCCAACAGAAGCAGCAACTTCTATTGCTGCAGCAGGATGAGGACTAGCAACCCAATTTCCTCTCGGTGCTGCTCCCCACCCTTGGCTCCCCTGGAGACAGGAGTTAACGTTCTGTGCTGAGTTAATCATAGGTTGGCAGGAGCCTGCCACCCTTGCCAGCCACTCCAGTCGTTAGGAATGGGCCAAATCACCCAAATGTGCAGAGCCTCCCTGCCAGCCTCGGGGGCTCTCCAGAGCTGAACCTGAACGTCGTCCATCCTGCCTGCAGAGCAGGTTTCTCCTGCCACGTCCCAGCCACTCTCCTCTCTCTAGTGCCTCCTGCCACTTGTACCAAAGCCCTCAAGCGAGGCCGTGGGCAAGCAGCTGTAGCTCAACAGCCTGTAACTCATGTGAATAGAAAAAAAACCAAAATGCTCCTAAAAACACCAGCGGGTGATTTAAAGCCAGTCCAAGCCTGTAATTTCAAAGCCTTTCCTGGCTGGCTGAAGCGTGGGTTTATTCCTCCCTTTGTCCAGCTGCAGCTGGGCTGGCCTTGGACCGTGGGCTGCATGGTCCATCGACCAGGTGCCTTTGCTGGCCAGGCTCTGGGTGTTCTGGGACAAGGACTTTGGGTTTGTCCTACATGAGACCTGTGAAGCAAGAGCCCTAGGCCAGGATTTGTGCTCCTATTAGCAACTCTAGTAGAAGACCGTGGTTTCAAAGCTTGATATTGGGTCTCTTTAATGTCTTTTGCAAGAAGTTATTTGTCCCCCTGCAGGGCAGATCTTGGAGGTGGGAGCTTCAGCTGGGAAACTCATGGGAAGAGCCCAACAGTCCCCACTGTGCTTCCAACCCACCACACCACAAAGGCTCTGGTGGTTCTGCAGGGGAGCTGCCTCTAACATCACTCCTGCAAAGATCTCCTCATGCTTCCAGCTAAGTCCTGTGCAGTTCCCTAACGTGGCTTTGCTGGTCTTCTGCAGGAATTGTGGGCAGTGACTACATCAATGCCAACTACATCGATGGCTACAGGAAGCAGAATGCCTACATTGCCACACAGGGGCCTCTGCCTGAGACCTTTGGGGACTTCTGGAGGATGGTGTGGGAGCAGCGTTCAGCTACTATTGTTATGATGACTAAGCTGGAGGAGAAATCACGGGTAAGATGCATGAGAGGGATGAGGAGTTAGTCACCATCCTGGGGGATCGGAGGGGGTAGGGTTGGGGAACAGCAAATCCCTTTGAACTGCAGCCCACGTGGATGTCAGTGGGGGATTTCAGCAGCACCCTGAAAGTTCAGTGATTCATTGCTTTTAAAAAAACAAACCACTCACCCTGGAAAGCTGCAGCAACTGCAGGAGAAGAGGACACTCAATCCCATTGCATGCTCTGTAGATCTGTCTCGGAGTTAATCATGTGGCAAGTTTCACATTCAGTTCTCTTGTTTAACAAGCCCCAGTACATTCCCTCTAATCTTCAGGATCATTCCAGTCTATTGTCTACATGATTGATGTGGTGCATCAAAGCCTGTGCTTGGGCAGTAGGAGCTTTTCATGCTCTGTCCCTCTCTGGTGCTCTGCAAGGACTTCTCTTGCACCTTCCCTCCCCTTTGCCACCCGGCCACCATCAGCTGTACCAGCCTCGGGGCTGTTCTGGCCTGAGCTTTGGGCAGCACAGGGTTTGCTCCAGCACTGAGCAGTGCCTCCTGCCTTCCAGATCAAGTGTGACCAGTACTGGCCGGGCCGGGGCACAGACACCTACGGGATGATCCAGGTGACCTTGCTGGACACCATCGAGCTGGCCACCTTCTGCGTGAGGACCTTCTCCCTGCACAAGGTCAGCTCTCTCCTCCTCCTGGGTTCCTTCCCAGGAGAAGGGCTTTGGGGGGCAGGGGATGGCGGTGTGCTGGGCCCTCCCATCACTCCCAGGACCCCTTTGCCTTTGCAGAATGGCTCCAGTGAGAAGCGGGAGGTTCGCCAGTTCCAGTTCACCGCGTGGCCTGACCACGGGGTACCCGAGTACCCCACCCCCTTCCTGGCCTTCCTGAGAAGGGTGAAAACCTGCAACCCCCCTGATGCTGGTCCCATCGTGGTGCACTGCAGGTACCAATTCCCTTCATCCACCATCTGCAAGGGCAGCAGGAGTTCAGGGGGATGTTCATTTGGACCTAGGACACTTGGACCCAACAGGCAGGAGCTGTGCTGGAAAGTGGCTTGCCAGGCAGCATCTGAGGAGGGTACTTGGGGATTTCATTGGGCACCTCAGGTAGTGTTTCATTCCCACCAAAGCACTTGGACCTTGTTGGCAATGGGAAGGGCCCAGTGCTGTACTGGAGGCTGGTCAGTGGGTGGGGGCTGTTCCCTGTCACAGTGGAGGAGGAGGATGGAGGACGACCTGGAAGCTACTCAGTGGCTGCACGGGGTGTTGGGGAGGCAGAGCTGCCTCAGCTGTCAAGGGAGAGCTGACAGTGATTGAAAGAGGGTTTTTTTGAGTGCTGCAGCCATTCTGATAAGGCCAAACTGGAGGTCCCCATGGGCAGGTAGCAATCCCTAATTCAATTTACAGCCCAACGAGGAGTGCTTGCAGCCCCAGCTTCAGTAACTGCCTGTGTTCCTCAGGAGGGTGTGCAGGAACCTGCAGGCTCCTTGGCACTGGGGAAAGACCTCTGAATCTTACAGGCTGCTGGGGGAAGCTAATCCTGCCCCTCCTAGAGGATGCCATTTAATCAGGCTTTGTAAGTGGGCAACTTATCACTAACCTTGCAGATGGCAATTATCATGCACCTCTCAGAAAATGAATAAAGAGAGCTGTCAGCTCACAACGTGCAGGAACCAGCTCCCAGGTCAGCTGCTAGATTCTTGCCAAAGCTGCAGTCACCTGCCTGGTTCAGGTGTTAGGCAGCAGAATTACCAGAGATCAAGGGGGCTTTAGGAAAAAAAGGGCCTGTGCTGGAATAGTGAAAGGCAAGTCTTTATTAGCAACCCCAGGAGCCCCCTGCTCCACAGATGCCATTACACAAGTTTGATGTTGCCTGGCTGCACAGAAGCAGGGGAGAAGAGGTGACACATTACAGCATCAGTTGTCCCTTGGCTGCTGGGAGATCTGAGGGATTAAAGATCCCTCTCGAGCCCTCACATCGTGCCAGCCTTTTGTTGGAGCCTAGGTGGAGCTGCCAGGACTGTGTCTGCCCAGGGAGTGGCAGGTATGAGGAGGCAGGAGGGGAGGGGCAGAGCAGCGGGGAGGGGCAGGAGGCAGCACCAGAGGCAGCTTTTCATCCTCAGTCCTGGCCTCGGGCGACCCAAGAGCAAACCTGGCTTGGGAAAGTTTTGCTAAACTGAGCTGAGCAAAGCAAAGCTCTGCCCATTGCAGACTCCATGGGGCTCAGCCCTGCGTGGAGATGGGCACAGAAGGTGGGGGACCTGGGAGGGGACCTTTACTCAGCAGCTCTGACCCTGGGGAGAGCTCTGGGGTTCAGATTTTAGGTCCCACCGTGGGCTCTCCTGGCCCCAGTGCAGCGCTGGCCTCACGCACTGGAGAGGTGACTTTGGTGTCACCTCCATCCTCCCCTGCACAACTGTCTGAACCCTCCAGCACAGTGGTTTTAAGTTGTTTAGGAGGTGACACCTCCCTCGCAGAGGTGGGTGGGCTGCAGGGCTGTTGGAGAAGTTCCTTTGATACAAAACTCAGGGAGCAGCTGGACCCACACGCTCGGAGGCTTGCGGAGATTTCCTTCTCCTGGCTCCATCAGCAGCTGTGTTCTCAGGGCCGTGGTTCCTCCCAAACACCTCAGCCCATCTCAAACTCCATCTCTGCTTCTACCCCGAGTGGAAGCATCTCCACACGTGGGTGTCCTTCTGGAAGATCATCCTTGGGTGCCAGAACACTCCAATGCCTCATCGTGCCCCTTCTCTTCCAGCGCGGGCGTCGGTCGGACCGGCTGCTTCATCGTGATCGATGCCATGCTGGAGAGGATAAAACATGAGAAGACAGTGGACATTTATGGGCACGTCACCCTCATGAGGTCACAACGTAACTACATGGTGCAGACAGAGGACCAGTACAGCTTCATCCACGATGCCTTGCTGGAGGCCGTCGCTTGTGGCAACACCGAGGTCCCGGCGCGGAACCTCTACACCTACATCCAGAAGCTGGCACAGATTGAGGTTGGAGAGCACGTGACAGGCATGGAGCTGGAGTTCAAGGTAATGGCAGATGCTTGAATGGGGACAGGAGTCTCCAGGGAAGGCTTTTATTCCTCACAGGGGCTTTGTCCTGCTGGCCCAGGGAGCCTGCATGAGGCTGATGGGGACTGGTTGGTTCCCTGTTAGGGAGGTAATTCCTTTTGTGAGTTACCTGCTGCAGGTCCCAGGGGAGACCCCCCAGTGCTGCAGGAGAGTCACAGAATGTATTGGGTTGGAAAGGACCTCTGAAGACCATCTAGTCCAACCCCTCTGCTATAAGCAGGGACATCTCCAACTAGGTCAAGCTGCTCAGAGCCTCATCCAGCCTGAGCATGAATGTCCCCAGGGATGGGGCCTCCACCACCTCTGGGCAACCCATTGCAGGGATCTAATGCCCTCATATTAAAGAACTTTTTCCTAGCATCTAACCTAAATCTCCCCTCTTTCTAGCTTAAAGCCATCACCCTTCATCCTGTCACTCCAAACCCTTGTGAACAGTCCCTCCCCTGCTTTCTTACAGGCCCATTTTAGGTACTGGAAGGTCACTATAAGGTGGCCCAGGAGCCTCCTCTTCTCCAGGCTGAAAAGCCCCAACTCTCAGCCTGTCTTCACAGGAGAGCTGCTCCAGCCCTCTAATCATTTACAAGGAGACTTGTCTGGTCTTTTCAAATCAAGACTGAATTCACTTCCCCTTAGAATGCCCTTTTAAATTTTTTGGGCTTTTCCCTCTTGGAGTTTTACTTGGAGAACAAAGAGAGACTCTGTCCCCACCCCCCCAAAAAAAGGGTGGGGGTGCAGAGCAGGCACAGCGCCGTGGTGGAACACGGAGGGCAGGTGAAGTGGGCTGGCAGGGCTGGGGCAGGAGACTGGGTTGTGACTCCCCTTTCTCCCTCAGCGACTGGCCAACTCCAAAGCCCACACCTCCAGGTTCATCAGTGCCAACCTCCCCTGCAACAAGTTCAAGAACCGGCTGGTGAACATCATGCCCTACGAGAGCACCCGGGTCTGCCTGCAGCCCATCCGCGGCGTGGAGGGCTCCGACTACATCAACGCCAGCTTCATCGATGGCTACAGGTCAGCCTGGCCTGCCCACACCTCCCCAGGAGGGGCCAGGGGGGGCTCTTCTGTCCCCTGGAGCTGTGCCTGCATGGGGTGGTGCAGTGCTGGGGGTGAAGTCCCTCTTGCTGCTGGCCAGCGATCCACACGGGGACTCGGCTCCACCCTGCTGTGGTCTGGAAATCCCTCAGAGCCAAGCAAACCCTTCTCCAGCTGCAGGTCCTAAACCTAGAGGGGCAGTGAGGGGTGGATTTTCCTCCTGGGAGGTTGCCACAGTCAGATGAGCCTCTGTAGTGATCTGGGGACGTTGTAGTTGTGACAGTTTCCCAGCTGGTGTGGGGCTACAGCTGAGCCCTGCCTGGGGAGCAAAGCTACCCCCTGGGCACGTGTCCTCACCCCCAGGTGCTGGCACCAGTCCTGGCTGGGGCAGCAGGGTTGGGGCATCCCCACGCCTGGCAGCTGAGTTCTTGGTGCTGCTCAGATGGGGTGGAGTTCCAGGAACCAGCAGGTTGGACCTTCTGCCTCAGAGGGCATCACACTAAGCCAGATTTGCCCCTTGGAAATGGGATTTAGAATCACAGGGTCATTTTGGTTGGAAAAGACCTTTAAGATCATCAAGTCCAATTGTTCTCCCGCACTGCCAGGTCCCCACTGCCCCGTGTCCCTCACCCCACATCTCCACGGCTTGGAAACCCCTCCAGGGGTGGGGACTCCACCACTGCCCTGGGCAGCCTGGCACAGCCCTGGGCAACCCTCCAGGGCAAGAAATTGTTCCTCAGGGACAACCTCAACCTCCCCTGGGGCAACCTGAGGCCGTTTCCTCTTGTCCTGTTACCTAGGGGGATGGATCAACCCCCACCTCCTCCTGAGCCCCCACTAGAGAAAACTTCACCTTTGGCTTTGGGGTTTTTTGACCACTGGTACCAAAGGCACCTCCTGCCCCTTTAGACCTTGCACTGTTCTAGTTCTTCCCCAGCATTTCACAGAATTCCAGCATGGTGGGGCTGGAAGGGACCTCTGGGGATCATCTCCTCCAACCCCCCTGCTCCAGCAGCTCACCCCCAGCAGGGTGCCCAGGGTCACAGCCAGGAGGGTTTGGGCACTCTGCAGAGCAGGAGACTCCACAGCCTCTCTGGGCAGCTGCTCCAGGCTCGGCCACCCTCACCCCAAAGAAGTTTCTCCTCCTGCTCAGGTGGCACCTCCTGGGTTCCAGTTGGTGCCCGTTGCCCCTTGTCCTGTCTCTGGGCACCACTGACCAGAGTCTCACCCCAGCCTCTTGCCCCCACCCTTTAGCTCTTGCTCAGCACTGCTCAGATCCCCAGTTTCCATTTGTTCTCCCTTTTATGCATTTCCCAAAGCTTCTGCCCAGGCAATCCCCCCTGACCCCCCTTGTGTCTGGGCTCCCTCAGGCAGCAGAAGGCTTACATAGCCACCCAGGGGCCCCTGGCAGAGACCACGGAGGACTTCTGGCGGATGCTGTGGGAGAACAACTCCACCATCGTGGTGATGCTGACCAAGCTGCGGGAGATGGGCCGGGTGAGCACCCACAGAGAGAACCACGGGGAGGGGGAGGAACGTGGGGCACAGGGGCTAACAGGGACCTTCCTGTCCCCTTGGCAGGAAAAGTGCCACCAGTACTGGCCGGCGGAGCGCTCGGCCAGGTACCAGTACTTCGTGGTGGATCCCATGGCCGAGTACAACATGCCTCAGTACATCCTGCGCGAGTTCAAGGTCACCGACGCCAGGGTGAGTGCCACCCACCCTGCCCCTCAGGGTCCCAGCCTCCCAGGAAACCAGGGACTTGGGCAGGATTTGGCTCCCGGGGGAGAGGTGGAGGTGTGGACATCTCCTCTGTGAGAGGAGAGCCGAGCTGGGGCGAGGGACAGAACACAAACACCAAACTGAGCTTCTTACAGCTGGTTTTTTAGTCAATCACAGTGGAGTCCCTTTGTTAGAGATGTACCCAGCTTTTGGTTTTACTTACGGCTTATCTGAGATGTGATTATCTCCCCAAACTAATAAAAAAGCTAATAAAGCTCCCCAGGCTAATAAAGAACCCAGACCTGCAAAGGATGCTCTGCACCCTGCAGAAGATGTGCACATCCCTGGCTTTCAGAGGAGCCACCAGTGCTCACCTTCAGAGGGGCACTTTTACTCAAATTCAGCATCAGGTTTCTCCTCTGAAGGAACATTTCAGGACCTTCTGAAAGCTGTTTGGCAAATGTGACCCAAGTCTGCTGCGTTAGACGCTGCCAGTGTCGGAGCAAGGCTGAGAAGGAGGATGCCTCATCAGTCCTGCTAGAACAAGATTTATCTTCCTGTCAGCTGTGATTCTGGCACTATGGCAACTCTTTCTGAAGATTGATAGAGGGGCCAGAGCCTCACCTTGACTGTTCCTTTGCTGGAGCCTCCATCTGTGCCAGCTCTGTGGTGTCAGAGCTCTCAGCTCTCCTACCAGGAGCTGTGCTCAGAGGCCACTCAGCAGCTCCAACATGAGCAGCTTCATCAATACATAAATATAAATAAATTTTCACTTGATTAGGACACTAAGTGGGTCCAACGAGCAACAAAATGGGGCTGGGTTTCTTTCTTGTCCTGTGCCTTTGGTGCTCAGTGGCACGGGCTGTTGAAGGGTTGCTGGTTTCTCCCCAGGACGGCCAGTCCCGAACCGTTCGCCAGTTCCAGTTCACAGACTGGCCAGAACAAGGAGTGCCAAAATCAGGAGAAGGCTTCATCGACTTCATTGGGCAGGTTCATAAGACCAAGGAGCAGTTTGGCCAGGACGGCCCCATCTCTGTCCACTGCAGGTAGGCACAGGCAGATGGAAACGTTTCACTCAGGATGCAAAAAAAGAGCATAAGGAATTCAAGTCCTACAGAATCCTCCCTCCCTCCCCACCCCTGCTGCAGGCAGAGTTCTTGGGGGTGTCTGGAAGGTGGCAGGTTCCAAACACTTTCTCTGCCAACCAAATTCATCTCCCTTAGGCCTGGGCACTGCCCACGAGGCCTTTGGTGATTTATATCTTGGGGAGAGGTGTGAGATACTGTGAAGGAGGTTGGAACCACAGTGTTCATCAATATTTGACCTACAGAAATAGTATTTTTATGAGTCTTAGCCCAGTTCTGCACCTCTGACACTGCTGGGTGGTGTTTGGTGGCACCTCCCTACCCCTGGGCAGCAGAGGATAATGCCTTCTTCAGATTATTTCATTTCAAAAGCCTAATATTTTCTCTCTATTAATAACAATTTTCACACTGAACACCATTTACCACTACCCAAAGCTTTTGATTTTTTTATTTTCTTCTTTTCATTTCACTCCTTCCAGCAGCTTTTTGGGTCACACTCTGGCGTTTTTACTATTTCCCACCTCCTGGAGCACTGAACCTCTCCAGGCTCCAACCTGTCCATAAGACACAGCTCAACCACACCGTCCCTGCAGCGTTCTGAGCAGCATTTGAACCCTTTAATGAACAGTTCCCTGTTTTTTCTCCCCCCTGCAGTGCTGGCGTGGGCAGGACTGGAGTGTTCATCACCCTCAGCATCGTCCTGGAGCGGATGCGTTACGAGGGGGTTGTAGATATTTTCCAGACAGTAAAGATGCTGCGAACGCAACGACCTGCGATGGTGCAGACAGAGGTAGGCTGGGGATGGGGACCTGTGAGCAGCCAAGCACCTTCCCCAGCTGCCTTCTCTAACCACGAGCAAAACCTTACCCTGAGGTTACTCAGCACGCCCAGGCTGGGCTGCTGATTTTACCCAAGTAATGAAAAAACAACCCCCCAAAAATTCCCGTTGTTCAAGATTCTCCATTCTTGTCTCATCCTTGCTTGGGGACTCACCTGCCTCCAAACACAGCCCCTCTGGGGCCCCAGGAAGGGCCGTGGTGGGGTGACTGGTAGCTAGGAGATGCACAGACAGTAGAGGGAGGGATTTCCTTCCCCAGGAGCTCGTGGCTCTTGGAGAACAGGAGATTCTGTGCATGGTTCCTGCCCAGGTCTGTCCAGGCTGGGAAGGATCCTGAGGAGCTGGGTCAGTCCCTGGAGCTGGGTCAGCCTCTGGAGCTGGGTCAGCCTTTGGAGCTGGGTCAGCCTCTGGAGCTGGGTCAGCCTCTGGAGCTGGGTCAGCCTCTGGAGCTGGGTACG